CCAATATGCTTCAAATATTTCTAGAATATATGTACATATATCATTCTCAATATGTATCCTAGACATAACATTCTTGTTTGATTCTAAGGATATACTTGGAATGTTAATTTTCTTTTCCAAATAATGCTCCTTCCAGTCCTTTTATATTAAAGGCAGTGAAAGAATTGTTGGAAAATTTCTCTAGAAAACACAAGTGTTTAACCAAAGGTCCGGTTTCGAGCTTGTTATACTCTCGTCGAAGCACGCCAACTGAGAGAAACAGGTTCCAAGGTGATTCAAACGCGAGGCAAGATGTAGATCTTTAATAGCGCGTGGCTCCCTCTCGTGGAAGTCCTACAAAGCAAAAGAAAAAGAATATACCTATAATATTCTTAGTAGGTTCAGGTTCTAGATAGAGCATTCTTGTTTAATTGTTCAATTAAATTTTTGAGTAGGTAATTTAGATAATTAGGCGAACAATATGGAAATATTCTTATCATGGGTACCTACCTACATTAACTTCTCAGCACAACTTGATAGGTATATTCTTAATACTTGATAGAGATATTAGCCGAAAGAACATTTTTTAGGGTACATTATAATAATGTTCGTATGAGAATATTCCAATAATGTTTTATAAAGTAGGTTCTTAGCACAATCTTTCAGGTAGGTGCATAGAAGCAACATTCCTAGTACATAAATAGAACGTTCAAAAATGAATATTTCAATCGAAACAATCTTAGAATATTCATTGAACATTCCTAAAAGAACATTCAAAAAAGCACTTTTAGGGAATATTCTGAGAATATGAATGTTCTTTCACTGTTATGTGGGTAGTGAAGCGGGTTGCCAGTGAATCATGTCTAAGACTGGCGAAGATAAGTCTACAAGGGAAAAAGCACTTTGGCAGAGCTTTCCCTGTCCCAAACTGTGCACACCTCATGGACTTACCAAAAGACGCGATTGTTGATAAATTCAGTTTCGAGAAAAACTTTTCCATCGAACTAAGTACAAAGAACAGATGGAACATAGAATGTATCCAGTCCCTTAAAGCAAACACCATCAAATGGTTCACAGACGGCTCCAAAACTGCTGAGGGGACAGGAGCCGGAGTATTCGGGCCACGAACCAGATACTTGGAGCCAATGGGCAAATCACCAAGCATATTCCAAGCCGAACTTCATGCGATCGGAAAATGCATGCAGTTCAACCTGAACAAAAGGTACCGAAAACGAGATATTGTAATAATGTCTGACAGCCAAGCAGCTATCAAAGCATTGAGCTCGCCGGTAATCAATTCTAAGATAGTATGGGAATGTCTACAGAAACTCAATGAGCTGGGGAAGGAAAACAAAGTAGCCCTACTCTGGGTTCCTGGACACATAGGAGTCGAGGGCAATGAATGCGCAGACGAACTTGCAAAAACGGGAGCGGCCACTCCCTTCACTAAGCCAGAACCATTCTGCGGCGTCGGAAATGAGCACCTGCAAGAAATCCTCAAAAAGGAAGAGAACCGGCTAAGGAACAAACAATGGCTGGACCAACCAGGACTACGACAGGCCAAAGATCTACTGGGTAGCTACAACCAAAAAAGATCTGAACTGCTGGTCAACCTTAGCAAGAAAAGTCTCAAAACTCTAACCGGGTTTCTCTCGGGACACTGCAGACTGAATAAGCACCTACATAATCTGGGGTTGGGAGAAGGTAACACTTGCAGATTCTGTGAAGACGGTGAAGAAACACCTCACCATCTTCTACTGAATTGCGATGCCGTAAGCCGCTCAAGAATGAAGAACTTGGGAAGTCCCCTTATACAGCTGGAAGACATTCCAGCCCTGGAACCGCTAGACATCCTAAAATTCCTAAAGGACCTAGGGCTAGAGGGGCTGCTTTAAGCAGGAAACCCGAACTTAGCAGCAGAAGGAGGGGTACAATAGATCAACCTTGGTCGCATTGCAACTGACACCTCCAACACAACATACAGACATACATACATACATTCCTTTCGATTTTGAACGGTCATGTTTTTTTTTTCCTTTTTTATTTGAATTATTGTTTTGAGTTTTTTCTTTTTAGTTTTGTTACATGTTGCAGTTTTCACTTATTTTATCTTTTATTAGTTTGTTGGTAGAGTTTTTATTGTCTTTTCTAATTTTCTTTTCCACTTCCTTGTTTAGAGTTTTTGAACTTTCTGTTGTTCGATCACTTCGATCTGTCCTTTTTCCTCTTTCTTTGAGAAGTTTCAAGGTAGCTATTAGGTTGGAGTTCAGAGGTTTTGTTTTTTTTTTTTTTGTTTTTGAACAGACTTTTTCAACCGATGTGTTATGGTTTCTCTCATTTTTGTGGCTGGTTCATTTATTTGCATTTGTTTTATTGTATCTATTGGTGTTAATCTTGTTTCTAATTCATTTTAATATTCGATTTGTTTTTCAGTCAGGGTTTCCGTGGTTGGGTAGCGTTCTTGTGTGATGAGTTTGTTACGTTCTGTTCTCGTGTGTATCTTGATCTTCTCTAGTACTAATCGGTGGTCGCTTTTGGTTTAAAATTCGTTTAGTGCTGTTACATCGGTGTTTTTGTTATTCCTATTGGAGAGGATATATTCTCTCGTCTTTCAGAAATGAGAGGTTGAATGGAATTCGATTGGGAATAGTAGATAATATTGAAAGGCAACGATAAATTAGCATTATTATTTTCGCCAAATTCAACGAAGGAAAGGAGAATACCATACTCCCGAAGAGATGGAAGATGACCATTATGGGAGAATGAAAAATATTTTGAATGAAAATCAGTAGCAAATCCTTCAGAGACAAGGAAGAATACTTGGATGCGCCATTCAGGAATCAGAGCATTGGCGTCTGTCACATGCAAAAGCACCTTTACTTTTCCTCTGTAATTAAAAGTCTTATTACTGCTTCCTCCCTAGGTGCGAGAGTGAACGCAAAGTCAATACAACGTGCCAGGTAACAGACCAACTAAATCCCTTACCAAACTGGCCTACAACATCAAGGACACTAGTCCCAACAGCTCCAGTACTGTGGTGGGACTCTGAACAAAAGATTCCTACCTTAGGAAGTGCCAAGTGCCTCCACCCAATCGAAGTCTAGGAGCCGCCTGCAGAATGTGCGAAGAAGATACCTAGGTACACCTAATATTCTAATTACCAGCAAAATACACTCTTTTTGGGGCAGCCCAAGAGACCACGATAAACTGGAACAAAATTTCCTTGCAATTACAAGGAGCTGAATATTTTCGTGAGACGAGAACAGGAACGCATATCCTCGACATATCATGCAGTTCCTAATAAACCAACCAACAAATGGAATGTGCCTATTATTGCCCAAAGAGTGTCCCTCAAAAAGCTATTTTATTGGAGATAAATGAGTTAATAATTGTTAAAGAAGAATTTGCCTTCCCATAACGAGCCGCCACTAATCATTCTATTGTAATGCAAAAATTTTATTGTATGGAAAACACAGCAAAAAAATTCATAGTAATTAAAATTGTTTGTTCTAAATATCCAAATATTTACCTTGAATCCGAAGGCGATTAGCTTCAAGATGGTCTCGCACAGAAAAAAGAACGTGAAAAGTATGTTCATTACTGCCAAAATGTCGGAGAGCAGTGGTGGGGACTGATGGTACTACAATAAAAAACTTGAAAATGGAGCGCTAAATCTACCTACTTGTAAAAATAATAAGCTCTTCAATAAACTGCCTACCTTTGAGACAGGGATTTCGGTATACCTACGTACTGTTTTTTTAGATGTAGATATTTTTTGAAGTTAAAAGTCGGCAACTCTTTTCTTCTGACGTTTTCAAAGTCGATTTCAATGATTTCAAATTTCCAGTAATATTTTAGAATTAAGATAAAAGATCAACGATAAAAGTAAGGCTAATGTCAGAAACTGTGATAATACTCGGTATTAGCACATGCAAGCTGTTATTGATATAGTGGCAAGCCATTAACCCAAATTTCCTAATATTTTGTCATTATTTATGTGATCATGTGAAGTTTAGAAACTTATAATCGACTTTAGACTAGCAGTCATTAAAAAAAAAAAAACTGGTAATTATGAATTTTGAAAGAAACTAAGTTCATATAAAGTTATGTTAATATAATATGATAAAAAAATCAATAACCATAATGGATCATTGACAACATAGTCGATTTAGAAAAAAAAAAATACACTGAGGAAATAAGTTTGTCTGTAATGGAAAACTAATGAACTCAGATAGTTGCGTATACCTATATAGAGATATTAGAAAACATACCTTGTTCAGGTATAGTTGATTTTTTTTTCAATTCTGAGCGTTTCATTTGCCAATACTCATTAAAGAAAGTAAATGCTTTGATATAGACAATTTCATACATTAGCCAATTTGATTATGTTTAATTTTCTTATAAATATTATTTCCGCTCACTCATAAATACCTATTCCTGCTGGTGTTCGTGTGAAAGTGTACCACAAATTGCAAGCATGCAACAATTGTCTACTTAAGCATTTAGAGAAAAATTACAATACGGCAAAAACATCAAAACATTATAAAACTGGACCAAAACGTGCACAATATGCTATAATGCCAACAAAACAAATAAAAATAACACGTGCTTCTTAAATAGTAACGAGGGGGATAAAGGGCGATATTTTTTTTAAAAAAAATTGTACAGGTTAGGCTTATTTATGTTTTCTAATTTAGGTTTAAGTTAAGTTTAAGTAATCTTTAAAATTTTCTACTCAATTGCTAGGTGTAGGCAGAATTTAATTTCTAATACATATTGCTAACTAGCTAGCAACTATTTCTAAATTTTAATTTAAAAATTGTCCAGGAATTAATATGTTGTAAACAAAAAAAAAAACCTCATCTGAGTCAACTTGCCCCAAAAAATTAAAATAACTCAAACACTGGTGCTAAACCACTCCGGTGAGATTTTTAGTTGTTTGCCTACACCAAGCAATAAAATTTCAAAGAAAAACCACTACTAAATAGTTTCTGAGCTGAATTGAGGCCTCTAAATCTTACCCTTACTCCGAACGCAAGTATCTTCAAAAAGCATTCTACCGTGAACATTCCAGTGAATCCCCAGTTCAAATATTTTAGGCTATAGGTGTATGTGTCACTCTGATTGTTAAACTGTTGACATACATAAAGAGATATTTTTGAAGAATTGGTCAAAATAAATTTATTTTAAAAATTAGAAGCCTGCATGAAATTGAATTTAAAGGCTAGAATTTATTATCTAAACAATCGTTTACTCACAAATTGTGTAGGTATTATAACAAAGAATTTCAAACCTATCATTAATCAAAGTATGCTAGCTCCAAACACAATAAATAAAACAACATTTCTGACATTGAACATAAACAATTTTAAGTACGCTCAAGCAAAAGTTAGCTGCAGAGCGGACCTAAAACATTTTTTTCGTTTATAGTTAAAGCAGGTTGCAACTGAAAACAAGAACAAGATTAGTACAATAATAGTGTTAAAAAACAAACATTGACATGCATTCAGTGTCCGTACCCATACCAAATATCATGTCACATACAAAATAATAAATTATAGAGCCTAACGCAATTGGGATAGTACATAAAGATCATTAGTTGCTAAAATTCCTATTCTAAATAGTTTTCGTATACGTTTCGAAAATAAAATGCAGGACACTACAGAAAGGATGTTTTTTTTTTCAAATCTTTATTTCAGGAAGCTACATATTCTCATTAAAAAAAAACTCCATTCCTATTATTCTTAGTTCTATTCTAATCTAGTTTGAGGATGATTAGATTTATTGCTGAATTCTCCTCTATTCTAAGGCAGTGTTTGTATGTAGAATGTGCTTTGAAATGTAATTTGATCTAAGTTTTGCAGGCGATCTCATTGTGCCTTTTTGTTTTGTATGAATAAACTGTTGTGAGAAATTTCATCAAGGCAACCTTTGATTATTGAAAGCTAATGGAAAATTTAAAAAAAATATTTTCCAAGAACACTAAAACTGAAAAAAATAATGCAAAACGTTTTCTGTGCAACTGCTGAATGATCTCTACCTAAAGTTTAAAATCCTTATTGGCGCAGCCCAAGAGATATGAGAAACAATAGCAGGCAATAGTGTAATATCCGACTGCGAAATATTTGTTACGTTGCGAAGGTGATTGATATGAAAAAAAAAAAAATCTAAATTGTACGCGGAGCAATGCCAGAAAGCCACGCGTTCTAACTGCCAAAGTTTATTAAATCTGCTGAAAAATCTTTATTTTCAACGAGGTGGCAATAGCACTCTGTGTAACATGCTAAATGTTCCTGTTTTTTTTCCCATATATCATTTTATTATTATTAAAAATGAAATTATCGCCTTGAATGCTGACGGTCTCGTGACTGCCATTATTAAAAGAACTTAAAAGTTGGTTTCTGTCAAAAAAAAAAAAAAAAAAAAACCTAGAGGGCACGCTCTTCGTTTTAATTTGAAGTACCAGTTTGATACCAACACTTTTCGTTGGCTTTTCTTTTTAAGGGAAGCTCTGTTCAGCTTATCTTATTTTTCATCTCTTTGAAATTTTGCCGTTCGCCCTGGAAGGTCGACTCCGGCCTGAGGGGCAGCCATCTTCCTCAATTGTGATTACCGTTATCGTGAAGAAAAGTACCTTATCGGCCATTAGTCATTAGTTTGGCGAAATAAAGCTGTGCAAGGCAAAGTTCCGTTGATTACCGAAAAAATTTAAATCAAAAGTCCCGTGATTACCGTTTTATTCAAGTTTGAATTCCGAACCCCCTCGTGGTAAGTCCTTTTTAATTTTTTTTTTTAGTAATGGTTGTTCATGGAATACCTCTATTACTTAGGGTTTTCCGAGAAGTCGTTTTTCTCAAGGAATTTATTTTCAACGAGCCCACATCTCTGGACATGGAGCTCTTGTCTTGAAGTGATTTCCTAGAGGAATCAAGTCACACACGCGTGTACCTCCAGATTTGACGAAGAAAATTTAATTCTAGCCTTGATTAGAGGCTAGAATCTGCAACTTCCTTTTGCAACTTCTCTCGTCATTGTAAAAAGTTTCATTAATACCTTTTCTTATGAAATCTACTCTACAATCAATTAACAAAATTAATTGATTTTTTTTCCGATATGACTTACATTCACATATTTAAAATTTTACATTTTTGACATCGAGGTGATGGTGGAATAAGTAATTTTCTGGATTTTCGTTTTATAGAATTTATTATAGATTTATCTTTACTTAACTTTTAATATTGTCATATTTTAGGAATGTTAATTTTATTATGCATAATCAATAATCTGAATTGAAGTCAAGGTTGGACAACATGCTCAAACTTTAGAATTTTTGAGTAAGTACATACCTACATCGTCGAAAATTGATCAATTTTTAACCGGGGTCCTATACTTATATATTTGAGGATTGCTATTATATCTCTTGACCATTTAACCCAACTTTTAATTTCATACAGGTGCAAGTTGATTTTATTGAATTTTTTCCTTGGGCAAAAGCTGACCATATTTATCGATACAATTTTTTTAATTAGTTTCCTGGAAACTTAAATTAACTTAAATTAAAAACTGTTAAGGGTGATCTATTATAAATGTCACCCCCTGCTAACTTTATCATTTGACGTTTTTGACAGAAGTGTCAAACACAAAAGTTTTAAGAAATTGTCAAAACTCTTCAACTAAGTTAGTTTTAGGCATACAGGGTGCGTCAAAAAAGTGCAGCAGTGTGAAGTTATATTTTTTTAAATGGAACGCCCTATATATTGTGCGCTTATTTATTAGTCCCCTATAACCTGATTTCAACGATATACGGTCTGATATGTTTATCTCTCGGTTTATCTTCAATAGTTATAGGGAAAAACGCGAAAATCCCTTGCTAGGTCTCTCATGTTATTTTTTCAAAAATAATAATAATAACTTGGCAGCTAGATTTATTATATCTAATGTTTTACCTTGTATATTAATGAATAAAATTTGAACAATAAACTGTTCATAAAAAAAGCTTCAATGGTATAATTTTTCTTTTTTTTTTCAATATGAAATCTTGAAAGGGGTTTTCATGTTTTTCCCTATAAATATCGATCATAGCCATATCAAATCGTATATCGTTGAAATCAGGTTAAAAGGAACTAACAAATAAATAAAAAAATACAACTTCACACTGCTACACTTTTTTGGCACACCCTGTATGTCTAAAACTGACTTAGTTAAAAACTTTCGACAATTTACTGAAACTTTTGTATTTGACACTTTTGTCAAAAATGTCAAATGAAAAAGTTAGAAGGGGGTGATATTTATAATAGATCACCCTGTACATTGTAATTTATTTATTTTTTTTGAATTTGATGAATCTGGTTGAGAGTTAACCTCTATTTATTGATTTTCTTTAAAGTGTTTTAACAACAAATGATTTTATTTATATTTTAAAATTATTCAATACTTGATTTTTGACCTCACTGTGAAAATATATACCATTTTGATTTGAAAATTACGTGATTGTTTTATTGGTTTGAAGTTTTACTTATGTCAAGATTTGGTTGAGTAATATGCCTTATTTATTTCTTTTTCAGAATTATCAATTACCGCTTGCTGATTATTTTTTTCAGGTGTGCTTCCGAATTTTTACACTTCAATATTTTCTGTAATTCAATTACATATTTATTTTTCAAATTCAGTGGCGCCCTTGCCATTCTCTACTTATTGAACTATTGACCCACCACTAATAATTATTCGCTGAGCAAACTGAGCATATTATGGGCCTCTTGTTAATTCATTAACAAAAGGGGTTACATAAATTAGTGCCCAACTTAAGGGGCCTCGGAACATCAGATATTAACATCATTAAAATATTGTACAGTTTGCTATTATCTTTTACCTTTTATCTTTGCATAACTCAACTACTTGACTTTAGGTATACCAGTATTACGTGAACAAATCTAAATTATTCAATTTCTACAATAATAACTTCTCCTATATCTTTATTAATTTATCGAGCAAAATTCAATGAATACTTTCTCAACCTACATAGTGATTCTTGATATTTTCCCTGAAAATTTAATTTCGCATCTCTTTAATAATCCCGAGTTCTAATTTTCTTTTGAAAAAGAATAGGTAGCGAATAGTAGTACTTCCTAGCGATACTACTTTTCTTTACCTACCTCTCTATCTTTCTCTATATCTCTATCTTTCTTTGCAAGTTCAGTCAAATTTTTAGAGGACCCTACCGAGTTATGAGTTTTTCTCGATAAATGACTTCCGTAAGGACGAGTGATACACGTTAGATATCAGCATTCAGCTCTTTTTTTTTCTTTTCTTCCTTAACTATGTGTCTATCTTTTCTATGCACTTACCTTACCTAGTTTTTAAGCTCATCTTTTTTTGGAGGAGGGCAGTGTAACAGCTAGATGTTACTGTTTTTCTTTATCCCATATATAATTTTATAAACTGAATTATCGCCTTGAATGCTGACAGTCTGGTGACTGCCATCATTAAAAGAACCTAAAAGTAGGTTTCTGTCGAAAATAATGATAGCATGCTTTTCGTTTAAATTTGAATTACCAATTTGGTACCAACAATTTCCGTTGGCTTTTTTTTGGAGGGTAGCTCTGTTTGTTCAGCTTATCTTGTTTTTCGTCCCTTTCAAATTTTGCCGTTCGTCCTGAAAGGTCGACTCTGGCCTTGTGGGCAGCCATCTTCCTCAATTGTGATTACTGTTCTCGTTTAGAAAAGTACCTTTTCGGCCATCAGGCATTAGTTTGGCGAAATAAAGTCGCGCAACGCAAAGTTCCGTTGATTACCGAAAAAAATTAAATCAAAAGTTTCGTGATTACCGTTTTATTCAAGTTTGAATTTCGAACCCCCTCTTGGAAAGTCCTTTTTTTTAGTAATGATTTGTTCATGAAATGCCTCTACTACTTAGGGTTTTCCGAGGAGCCGTTTATCCGAGGAGCCATTTTTCTCAAGGAATTTTCAACAAGCCCACATCTCTGAGCATAGAGCTCTTGAAATGATTTCCTAGAAGAATCAAGTCCCTCACGTGTCGATACTTGTACCCCCACATTTGACGGAGAAAACTGAACTTCTAGCCTTGATTCCAGGCTAGAATCTGCCACTTTCATTTGCAACTTCCCTTGGATGG